AATTTTCTTTAATTATTATCAATTCTTTAATTTTCTTTAATTATTTTCAATTCTTTAATTTTCTTTAATTCTTTTCAATTCTTTAATTTTCCTCAGCACTCAATTATCTATTGATTAACCCATTTATTCTAATTGTAAATGAAATTATTAGCAGTACTACTGGCAATGTTTGCCTCAGCGCTTACTCAAAACTATCAAAGGAAACTTATTCAGAGTTTGGATTTCAGAGCTGATTTCAAGTTTACGCAAATTGATCACAGTAAAAATGATCAAAATTTTCAGTTGCGTCATTTTCGGTTTATTTCTCATTTATTTGTTTCATTTCAGCATATTGCAAGTGATAACTCTGAGGATAACAATAGCAATGGTAGCGGCTCACCAACAGACGAAAGCATTTCTCCTACAAAAGACCAATTACACTCAACAGAATCAAGCTCAACGCTGCAACATTTCCCCAGTACTCTCAGCACCAAAGTGGAACCACAAACAGTGAATTTAGACGAAGATGGACAAATGACCAAAGATGCAGTCATTGAAAAATCCACTCAATTCTCGTCTTCAACTGAAAACCATTTCACAACACCTTCAGATGATGTGATCACTATTCTGAATTCACAATCGGAACTTGACCGAATAATGAATACTTCTGAGATTTCAAACACTNTCAGATGATGTGATCACTATTCTGAATTCACAATCGGAACTTGACCGAATAATGAATACTTCTGAGATTTCAAACAGTACTACGCCGACGTTGAATGATTCATCATCAAATATCTCTCATCTCGTAACAATGCATCCAATCCCAGCGAATCTGTCATCTTCTCAGCTGAGCTATTCGACCACAACGGGATCAGTAACTACAACTGCTCTGGAGGATTCTTCTGAAAAAACTTCAGTTCAATCCACCTGGCAAGTCAATACAACGAAGGCGGACAATGCAACGAAGACAGATTATGAGCAAGGAGGTTTCGACGATTTATATAATGCTACCGAACCTGCAAGGTATGAAGCCACCAGACCGACTTCTACCAGAATTGAATTAAGAACGTCTCCGAAGAAGAAACCGAGCGATACAACAGCGCACATTACGTTCGTTGAGAAGATGAAAAACAATCAAGAGTTAGTATCTAGATTCTAGATGAATTCATTGTTCTTATCGCTTTGCATGGCATTTACGAAAGTAAGAAAGAAGCATTTGGACGAGTATCCTTGTTCCAGAACAACAAATATGTTCAATAATGTTCGTGCAAAGTTTGATTACAAGCGAAACTTTCCTTTTGAGTGGGACTCGAACCCATCGCATATATATTGTCGTTAGAGCGCTCGTTGGAAACTAATCACGATCGCTATTGATAATATTCATCCAGGTCCTTGAGGACCCTGGAAACGGGAATTGTTTGCGGCTTAATGGAAACAAGCATTTGATCAGTTAATGATTATCAATTTAGATGTATGAACGAATAGAGAGCATTTAGAAAGTATGAGAATCACATTTGAAATGACGATGATGAAGAGACTGAAGTGAATGAGAAAAAGCAGTCATAGAACGGTTTCA